AGATAAAAATATTAAATCAGCACCTTCTATAAAACCCGATTTTCCTCCTGCATGTAAAATTATGTGTAGCATCCCTTCTCCATCGGTATATTTGATGGACTTTACGTTATCATCTTGCTATATTCTCTTGGTTGCACCCCTAGAAAATATCCATGTTTCGTCTAAATATATAAAATTCGCCCCTTCTTCTTTAAATTTAGAATATTTTATAAGTTAATTCTCTTGTGCACGACAGAACTTCTTTCACAAAGGGCCTTTCTGTTATTCTTCTTTTGAAATTTGAAACCCAAGTTATGTATCACTTGCCATAGACTTATTCTGCCAATGTCGTCAAATTTTCTATTATTTCCGAGAGAATTGTATTTAAGGTCACATGTTCCTTGTTGGCACTCATTCGATAAATGGTATCACGAATTTCAAATTTCTTTCCATCTGGAATATCTTTCGTTTTCAATGATGGGCGAGTTTTGCGGTGATGATCTTCTTTCGGCAGTTCACTATTGTGATTTTGTAATACTCCTCTTAAATTGGTTTCACTAATTCCTAGAGCATCGCATACGCGTTGTTGTACAGACATTACCGATTTTAAAGGACTGCCATTTTCTTTTTCATCCGTAAAATACTTATGTACACTACAAATTAGACTATCTACATCTAACACACGTCTAGGCATTTTTAAAATTTTCACTAAATTTACAATATACATACAATGTCAACACTTGCAAAGAATCAATTCAACTGCAATATTTGTAACAAATTTAGTACCTACCCTAATGTTATTTTAATTTAAATCTGATCATAAGAGCAATTTTACCTAATTTCTTGGAAAGAGGCTTATTAGAACTGGTTGTCAATTACAAATTTGCATAATTTTGTTAATCCGAAACCCGCGTAAATATAGTGAGTAAGTAATATTGCCAGGTCAATATTGAATTTGTAGGTGAATCGCTTGTTGAACATTGTATATATTTTTGGGAATGTACACTACAAATTAGACTATCTACATCTAACACACGTCTAGGCATTTTTGAAATTTCCACTAAATTTACAATATGCATACAATGTCAACACTTGCAAAGAATCAATTCAACTGCAATATTTGTAACAAATTTAGTACACACTTTGTATACTAAAGATGCATATCATGCGAATTTTCGTATAATATTGTGGAGTACATATATTTTATGCCTGCCAGTCAAAAATGCCTTAGTTAAAAGAGTGTTTCTCATATGAATAAGATATGGACTCGTGAAAAAGATCAGTTGGGAGTTTTAGTATTGCAAGCCATTCTGATAACATAAAAAAATATTTCAACAGTTCAATTCCTATTTGAAAACCAAACGTCATATTTTAAAGTAGATTTGCTTAACTGAAAAATATAGAAAACCTTCCTACCAGACAGCACAAGATTAGTTCTATTTTATTTTATAATTTTTAATAAATAAACATAAAACATTAGATATTTTATTTATTGTGAATAGTTTTAACCATTCATTCTATGTTTTCTTTCGAACAAAAATGAAAATATAAATAACGATCCTTTTTTTATACATTTTAACTTCACGCTATTATTAAATGGTATTTTTTTTTATTTTGACAGAATAGGCTAATTCTTCAATGACAACTTATTAGACTCAGGCAACTTCTCATACATTTTCCAGTAAATACTGTTGCCTGCCTATATTTTATTATTGATTTTTATTGATTATACATAATTTTCTTTAATTTAAGAGATAAAAATATATAATAATAATAAATTAATGTTTTATTTGTTTTACAAATCCATATACTTTTATTAAAACTAACATATATACTTTTTATTTACGAATTCTATTAAAAATTGTATTTGTCAGTACACGCAGAAATAGTCCATTAGTACCAAAACGAATTGGCGCTGCTGTCGCGCACGGAGCACAAACCAAGTCTATGGAATGAGTCGTTATATCCCCACGTTTACTGCTCTCATCTTTTATTTAGAGTGTAGTAAAAAACAAAGACAAGGAAGTGTATATAAAATAATAGGTTCAAGAAAATGTAAAAAGTAACAAATGTTTCCGGTACTAAAATAAGCAGGTTCGTACTCTTCTTGACTTTGTTTTTTATTTATTCCAATTAGAAGAAGCATGAGTTTCGGCATCGGCATGCAAACTTCATAAACGTTATTTTTCTTTAAGGTAGTTGTCGAGCAGTGTATATTTAGTAGGTACCTACTGAGTGAAAAGATATTCACTCATTGAAAAAGCGTGTATGGTTATTTAGTGAACGATGCGACACGATGCGAACGATACGACGGTGATGGTCTGATTAATATACCCCGTTCCGTTGGTCACAGGCTAATGTGTCCGTGTTATTAGTATGTAATAAAGTATATAGTTATTCATTTCGGCAGTAATTCTCTCTGCAGGGGGCGCTCGAACGCCTGCTGCTATACCTCACCTTTAATGGTATTATTTATGTCGAAGTGGTCCCTCTCAGCGAGAACACCGTAACGATTGCAGCAAGCAGCCATAGAATCGGAGTTACGATTCCATGGCACCACTTACCTTGCACTGTTCGATGAAAACTATCGATGACCTGGTGCCAATTATTGCTTTTTTATTGATTACCTGCGGTTTAAAAGCCCACCCAATATTAAAAATATATATATCTACATCTAGCTGATTAAACATAATAATTCGAACTTATTTCGGATCTAGATTCGTCAATTTTTAAGTTACTATCTATGATTATATATATTTAGTTTTACCTTATAATAAACAATATGATAAGAAAAGAAAACTCTTGTTGAAATTTTATAAAAAAATCCAAAATCACAAATTAAAAAAAAATAAGTAAAATGAAGAATATCTATCTTTGAAAGTGAATATCTCGGAAACCATTCACTTTATGAGTCTCCAATATAAGTACACGATTTATTTAAAAAAAATTAAAATTATAGTTCAAATAAAATTTTAGACAGTGGCGTAATTGTGTTTAACTGTTTGTTTTGCTGATAGGACATCAACAATATTTACCGAATTTAGTAAAATTATATTGAGAAATACAAAAATATAGTCGTTAACAATTTTTGAATTTTCAACTTCTATTCTTAATAACAAAACTTCTTTAAAGTAACTACATGATTTTTCAATTTTAAAATAACAACATGATTTTTCAATTAAATTGTATGCACATAAAAAAATATTAAACTGTAACAACCCCTAATATAAACGAATGTAAGCGGACACATACTTTTATGCACACTCATTTGCATGTACACGAAAATGTTCCATTTGTAAGTTTTAGTTTAAATAAATAATGTTTATAATTACGGTACATTTTTATTCTGTTATATTTTAAAATTATACCTACTAATTGTTCAATGTAATTCTGAATACAAATTATAGGTTATCTCTCGAAAAGTTAACACGTGCCGGTCAGGCACGTGCTAATTTGTTAAGGACGAACTATGTCGGTCATAATTGTCAAAAGTTTTATCATAATAGAGAACTTCTACATAAGAGCAATTAGGTTTGGTATGTTTAAAGGTTTGCGACATACGATGAAGACCATCTACAATACGTGAAATCATAAATAATGTTAAATATTGTTTTAAAAGACAGTTTATACATTTTCCAGACTTAGCAACTACAATTTCAAATAAAAATAGCGTCCAAAATGGAAGGCTACGTCGCAACCCCCTTAGATTTACGAGCCTTACGAGCAGCTCTTGTTTGACAGGTCGTTGGAATGTCTAATGCAACGACTCAAAAAAAAAATAAATTGAACTAATGACATAAGAAATCGGGTCATATAAAGACACTATTTTTTTTTGTTCACGTTTTCCACGAGATGCATAATTTCCAAAGAAACAACAAAATGTTTTTAAAAAATTCTCACCTCTTGTGGTATTACCCTTAACTATTGACATAAATGCTATACTAATAATTATACACTGAGAAACGTCGGAAAACCAACGTAGTTCTGTTGTTTGGTTCATATTTACAATGATAGATAAAAGAAAATTTGATGTTGTTGTAAAACAACCAGGAACAACGCCTATCTTCTCGTGGCAATACAATAATTACCTACCTAAATGTTCACAAAAAAATAAAATATAAAGTGACGTTAAGATACTATTAGAAAACATAGCGAAATTTTGTCCACGTTAATATTTGTTTCTTGAGTCGGTATTCTTTGGTACAAAGTACTTACGGGGTAGATAAATTATAGTAAAATTCAATAAATATTTAATTTATCCCAAAAAAACGATTTCACCTTTATGAATTTCACTCAACATTTTAATTCCTTAGTGAACTTTTTGTCTTACTGCCAGAGCTTTTAAGAACATGAAATTACACCCAATACATGTTCTTCCTCTTATTTAGTACATGCCTTTTAGTGCTATTTAAAACATGCCATCATCATCTAATATTTTAATAGTTTTTTTTTGTTAGATGTTAAAGGGTTTGTTTATTTTTGTGAAATTTTTTTATCGGATTTTAAAATCAATAAACGAGGATTTTGACATTCCTTCCTACAGGTCTGTTCGTTATACTTACGCGGGTTTCGGATTAAAAATTTTATGAGTATTTCCAGATAAGTACCCGAAAGTTTGACCTGTTCTTTAAGGATATATCAACCGATTTTAAAGGACCGCCATTTTCTTTTTCATCCGTAAAATACTTATGTACACTACAAATTAGACTATCTGCATCTAACACACGTCTATGCATTTTTAAAATTTCCACTAAATTTACAATATACATACAATGTCAACACTTGAAAAGAATCAATTCAACTGCAATATTTGTAATAAATTTAGTACCTACCCTAATGTTATTTTAATTTAAATCTGACCATTAGGGCAATTTTACCTAATTTCTTGGGAAGAGGCTTATTGGAACTGGTTGTCAATGACTAATTTGCGAAACCCGCGTAAGTATAGCGAACACACTGTATGTTATCTACTAATATACGAGTATTAACATAATTTACTTTATTATTGATTTATTCCTACAATTTTATCCTATTAATAATTTTCTAGAAATCAGGAGTCAAAATTATCTAAAAATTCAAATAAATTTAAATTTTCCGCTCAAAATACACCGAATTATAGATATTAAGAGACTGAAGAGGCTACTGTTAGATCAGCAGGTTAATAAGCAGGGTATTTGGAGTCGATTATCTTAGGTGACATAGTTTTTATAGATGTATGCCATCAAATTTAGTATAGCGGATGTCTTATTTCAATTATTATTCTTTTTTCATTATAAAATTTGTATACTCTAGAAGGAGAATCTAAAAATGTACACCATTTTTTTTATATAAATAATGATAATAAATATTATAAACCATATTTCGTCCGGTTATATTGTATATAATCAAAAGTATTATATTTCGTGTAAGCTTCAGATAAATCCACTAAAGCATGATATAGATAATCATCAGTTACTAAAAATCCAGCGCTATTGTCTATGCTTTCGTTAACATTTCTTCTTGATCTATGTTTAATTGGAGTAGGCACTTCACCATAAATATACGGATTCCTATTTACGCTAGGTTTTTTCTGGACATTTTTATTGGGTTTCTTTACATTTCTATTTGGTCTTTTTTGTGCCTGAAATTAAAATATTTAGAATTAACAGTTTATCACATAAACATAAACTAATTTGAAAGTGAGATGCGACCAATCCGTTCAAATTGTAAAGTATATTTTTTCTGGGATTACTTACCTGCAAATATCTATTAGGTCTTTTTTGCAGTTTCAAATTTTTCCTCCTTTTTCTGGGTCTTTTGTTTTTAACGTTTTTTATTTTCTGAGCTACGTAAGTGGCAAAAGCTTGTACAATAGCTGGATTAGTAGTATTATAATTCTGTTTTCCTTTTATGGCGTGTATAAGGAGACAAAGTAAATAACCTCCGAAAGCCAGGAACGCTAACGAGGTGATAGATAATTGGAAAATACTTTGTATTTTGTTCTTTTTGCCACCATCTTTTTCGTAGTGTTCTTCGTAATAATAGTGGCCGCCACCGCTGTGACCGCCTCCGCTGCTGTGACCGCCACGGTCTTTAATTTTTGATTTACCCTATAAAAAATATATAAAAGTAGTTTTTATGTTTTTTTTTTATCTGACAAACATTTATCGTATTCTATTTTATTTATATACTTTTGTAACATCCTGTAACCATTGAGCTATTTTTATATAAACATTTAGAGCACTGCCTTTTCAAATTGAAAAAGAAAAATACAGAATTACTTCCTTTTATATTGATTTTTAGAATATCCTCATAGCAATTGTACTTACGAATATCAAAATTGTTGTAGATTACCAGAATTATAGTGGAAATAATTTGGAAAAAATTATGTTTATATCTTGACCAAAATAATCAAATTAAATAGATTGCCTACATCGCAATGCTTTATTTTTATTTGTCCAGTTTTTATTCGTAAATTAAATTAATTTGTCCGTTATACATAATTTGATCCTTTGTATTCTTTGATACTAATTTAATGCAATTATAAGAAACCTTAAATAATATCGTATCATAACAAAGTACAACTTTTCTACATTTAAGTGTTTATACTCCATGCTCTAATTGTCATCTGCTTGATAACGATATTAATTGTTAATTTATACTCATTTATTTATATGCTATAAATTGTTTTAATGAAACAGAATATTTACCTGAAGAGCCAATGCTTCGGGAAATGTCCTAGATTCAATTCCATCATCAGTAAAATTCATACTACTTTCCTCTTTCTCCACAGCATATCCCCTTTTCAAAGACAGTAACTTATCTATGGGTAGTTCGCTTAAAACTTTGATATCTTCAACATTGGTTAGATCTTGGCTTAAAGACAATTTTGATAAGCACAAGAAAGATATCACGAACCGTAACATGTCATCGATGCGAGTAGCACTGATTGTAGTCTAACAGAATCTTCTATTCATCTGGTTTGTTTTTATGTCAGTATTATTAATTGTCATTTAAAATTTTACGCTTTTTGAACCATGAATAGTGTCTTATTTTGTTATACAGGTTGTATGAAACTAGATGTAGTAGAATTTTTAACATTTAACTTTGAAGATAGATATCATATAACATATATTAGACATGTGATAAGAATTCGTCAATGGAATAAAAGCAGTGACTCGACAAAAATTTGCGAATTCTTATTTTAAATAAATTAAGAGATGAGTTTTTATAAGCTTAAGGTAGGAAATTGTACAGTTTAATGCTGATATATCTATAAGAATCATGAAGTTTGGTTAATCTGTAAATAGGTAAAGATATATCATAATTTCCTCTGGTGCAATAAGAATGTTTAGAGCTCTGTCTTATAACATTATTATTACCAATTTGTTTTTTCATGTATAAAAGACACTCTAAAATAAAACAACATGGTAGTAGTAAAATACCCAACTGTTTAAAAATAGGTTGGCAGTGACTATTGTAGCTACTCGATGTCATGATACGTACTGCTTTTTTTTGAACAATAAATACCCTAAGTTGGTTGCTTGTATTTCCCCAAAGTATAACCCCATACGTCATAATGCTATGAAATAATGAAAAGTAGACCATTTTTAAATGTACAATGTCTAATTGAAATTTTAGCTGTCTAATTGCATAAGTAGCTTTTGCTAAACGACTTAGTAAACTTTGATTGTGATATTTAAAATCTAGTTTCGGGTCTAAATATATTCCTAAAAGTTTAACCTGTTCCTTACTTTTAGCAATGATAGAAAATGACATTTTTCGAGTTTTTGCTTCGTTTAATGTAAGACCATTGCTACCAAACCAATTATTTGACATAACTTCTGCTTCATTTAGCCTTTCTATTGTATCAGATTTATTGTTATTTGTAGCCATATATGTTGAATCATCAGCATAATACACCTGTATGATATTACTTAGATTCATTGACAAATCATTAAAGTAAATGATAAAAAGTAAGGCTCCGAGAACAGAACCCTGTGGAACTCCATACAGTACTAAATTCTTGCCCGAAGTATGCCTATCAATTTGAACATTTTGAGTTATTTTTTGCTAATAAGAGGTAATAAGCTGTAATGGTGTCGCTCTAACTCCATATCTCTCTAATTTTAAAAATAAAATGTCATGTTGAACCGTATCGAACGCTCTCGTAAGATCATAAAATCTGACAGTACTATGTGAACGATATTCAAAACCATCCGTAACAGCTTCATAGAGATCACATATTGCGTATTGTTCATTTGTTTGAATTGAAGGTTTCCCATCTTTAATATATTTATATTGTAATGTATTGTGAACGGTTAATTTTTCTAGTATGTCAAAATGGGTGTATATTTTATATACGGGTTAGGCTTTTTAAATTTTTAGTCTACAAGTATTTAAAGTAATTTAAAAAAAACCGATTTCAAAATCTTACAGATGCCATTACCATATCTTGACCAAATTTATATGGGACCATCCCTGAGGTACCCCCTTACTATGTTTATTTTATGTATGAGAGAGTATTAAAATAATAAAGCGTTCGTAATCCATAGGCGTAACACTTCTTTTAGTAGACAGTTAAAATATTTTTTGAAGTTATTCCTCGAGTATACACTTATATTTTCACCTAATTAACCTGCTTATAACTTCTAAACAGCTGAAGGTAAAAAAGTGCAATTTTTTCTAAAATGTTTTATTTTTCCACAAGGTATGTTAAGAACATTGTGTCAAACGGGTTATGTAGGTATAAGGGTTTAAACTTTGACTTTTAAACAACGTTACGTTCATAAATAATAATTTTAATATAAAAACTACTTCTTACCTACAAATCCAAATCAGAATCGAAATCAGAAGATGAACTGTCGCAACCAATATTTACAATGAGTGGCTCGATCATTTCATCAGTAATATTGTCCAACTTCCACATTTTCTCTTCTTCTTTAATCGTATGATTTACTGCCTTTTCCCAGTTTTGAGGCTTCACATTATTTACAGCCTCCAAAAACAACTGTTTAACATCACTCATTTTAAAAGAATTATTTTTTCTTGAAACTTCTCCCTTTATCTGTGCCCATATCAGTTCAATCGGGTTTACTTCGCAATGATATGATGGTGATCTAACCACCGTCATCCCACGATTTTTTGCAATTATTTTATCAATTTCATATTTTTTGAATTTCTCTTTATGAAGGGAACACAAATGATACAGTTCTTTTCTCACAGAACCGGGACGGAACTTAATATTCTTTGAATTTAGCCAATTCTGTAAATCTTTTTTTAACCACTTGGTTGTGGGCATTTTTTCTATAAGTCTCGAGTGATAACTTGCATTATCCATTACTATTATACAGATCGGAGGAAGAAGATCTATAATTTGTTCCAACCACTCTTTAAAGACATCAGCATTCATGTCCTCATGGTAGTCACCGGTACGAGTAGATTCAAAAGTCAATAAACCACCTTTAACAAAACCGTTTGAACTACCGATGTGTACTATTATTAGTCTGCGCCCCTTTTCTGATGGTGGATTTAAACCAGTAGATAAATTATTTAAAAAAGCCTGTCTTCGACTTGTAACAGTTTCATCTTGCCAAAATTTATTTGGTTTATGTCCCTCGTTGAACCATGTTTCATCTAAATAAAATATATTTCTTCTTTGGTTTTTCATTTCTTTTATAGTCCTTAGGTAATTTGTTCTCCATACTACAATATCGCTTCTTTCTATTAAAATAGACTTCTGGAATGCTTTTTCCATAGAAAACCTATTTCTTTTAAAAGTTTCCATAGTGTGCTTCGACTCATTTCAGGGTAATCCTTATCATCTCCAACCGTGGCAAGAACTTTGTCTACTGTCGGAAATTCTTTTCTAAAGAAGAACGCATGCACTTTCCTTCGAAGTCTTTCTTTCAAAAGATTTTCTAATTGAAATGTTGGTTTTTCTGGAGCTTTTCGTGCTGTTTGAACCTCGCCACATTTCTCTTCTTTAACAATTCTGTAAATCGTAGATTTCCCGTACTACTAACTAATTCCACTGTGTCATCAACACTTTTACATAAATGTCTGTAAATGATTTAAAACAATGAAATATTAATGCTTTTTCATTAACTGTTAAAGGACCGATTTTTTGTCGTTTACGCGGCCCTTCCAAATTTTCCATGATCACACTAGAATTCAAACTTCACCTTGCAAGTTGCAACTAAACGACATTTAGTAAACTGTCAAGAATACACAACTTGGACCTCCTTACTAAATGGAAAACCTATAATCGCATTTTCGGTGAAATTTGTTGGGAAGGTATTTATCTACTTATAATTCGATTACTGTAAGAAATTCTTGGAATTAAAATAAAACAAAATTGGCTAATAGGTACTTATTGAAAATAATCTTAAGATACGGCTATGTAATCTTTAATACATAGGGCTTTTGGCCTGTCCAAACCTTTTTCTATTGTTCTGTACAGCTTATGTTTATAAAGGACTAATAAAAGACCCAAAACTTGTAATAGGTCAGGTACATTTATTACAATTTTAGGAAATATTTAGATTATTCTGTAAAAATATTTAAAATGACCGTACTAAGTTTTGCATTAGAAATGCTGTTTTATTACTCTCTCTGCTCTCTCATACATAAAAATAGACTATAACAACAAAAGAATTCATGAAATCGGACAATGTTCTAAAGAATTATCGCTAACCATACATAAAAAATTAAGAGGTTTGAGGATTATTTGATTTTGACCAAATTTATATGGGACCACCCCTCAAGTGTCATCTTTCTAACAAAAAAGGAATCATTGAAATCGGATGCCTTGTTATTATCACTGAAAAGTATAGAATATTGTATTCCTTTTGATTGATACTATTACAATATTCATTTTCTATTCTATTTTGTTAATATTACGTTAATAGCTTCACTATAGCCTAATTCTTGTTCAGTTTAACTTACGTATACCTATTTTACGAAAAACACGTAAGCGCACAGTGGTCAAAAATAAGGCTATACCCTTTGTTTATTTTTTTAAAGAAGGATTTTGGAATTTCAATTTTGTTAAAAATGTGCATACTGTTAGAGAATACCTCGTAGATTCCAAAAATTAAATGAAATTTCTCGTTTTATTTAATCCACGTCGACTGTGACATTCAATTGTAGTGTTACGGAGTTGAATCACTCTGTATATATCTTGCCTACCTACTAAAAAAAATCATATGCTTATATTAACTTTTTTGAATCATTAACGCGTTGACACACCAATAATTTCAACTCTAATAAAATCGAAGCGATCAAGAGAGGTAGAAAAAGTAATACCGCCTTCGTTACGCACGATCGCAGGCCAATGAAGTGCGATAAGTCGCTCGTGGCCACTCCCTAAAGTGACTTAAGCAGCTTCCACATGCGGACCACCTATGGGACAGGATTAGCTGCTAAAAAGATCCCATTAGTGCGGCAGTGCATCGGAAGTTGGTTATCGATAATTAGAGGCGATCAAGAACCGAAGTTTTATTGAGTAGAGTTTGTTTTATGAGTGCAGTTTGCTGATTACCCAGAGTTTATGTTTTGTGCTGTTTATACATGTTTTAAGTGCAGGATAACCAGGTATTTTAAGGTAAATAAATAAATAAATAAATTAGTTATTAACTGTTATGTTATTCTTTAGAAAATTTTATATTTTTTTAATCAATTGTTTAGAACAATGTTTTTTTCCTAGAGAAGTTTTTGTTAAGAAATGTTCCTATACGTAGGTTGAACTAAAAATTCTGCCAACTTTTCTAAATAGTCTCATCTAAACTTAATGTGGGTGATCCTAGAATAAATTATTTAATTAAATATGTTTCTTAACGGAAATTATATAATTGTTTTTTCAATTGTAGCACCGTTATGGTAATAACATCCTATTACCTCCTATGATCACTATCCAATATTATACTTTGAAATCTAAGTTGATAACTATCCTAATAATCACACACTCGTTTTTTCAACGTAAATTTAACCTTGCATGGTATAAAAAACGTTATTGGTTGAACATTCTACGTAAAGATTTTAATTGATAAATTAAATACTATCTCCTAACGTATTTTTCTAGTAATTATCAACAGATTGTTGAAAATTTGATAAAATAATACGTTTTTTATAACGTTTGGTTGCAAATAACGTTATTTGAACTATTTTTATTCGTTTTATACGTCGACCTTTTTTTTTACGAACGTGTGCTCATTAGGATTCATCGTACTAGTGTGATAAAGCTGTACCTAACATTGTCATTCGCTTTATTTTCAGTTCTCATATTTAGTAAGCTAAATTTTATCCCTGAATTTTCCAGGCTTTACTTTTAGTTTGATACTAGTCATGATTTCAGAATTAAACCTGTCGGTGATAATATTTCCTAGTTTTGGAACATATTGGGCAAATATAGTATTCAACTTATCAAAGAATACGTTTAAGGCTTCATCCTCATTATTAGGTCAGGCTGTTTTTAATAATATTTGGAAAATCCACTCTTTTAAAATTGAATGCAGTCGGTAAATTTATTACTAATACTGAATTACAATCGGCCCATTTCTATAGCAGATAAAACTGACTAATTTATAAATAAATGTGAAAACTTTTTAATGACTAACAAACTCCAGATAACTAGTCCTAAGGTAACTTGCTTAGTAACGAAGCTTTGATTTAAAATGATATGCTATAAATCATATTTAACATTATTAAGTCATTCTTTAGATATTAAAAATAAATTGACAATAAAATATTATAATGGTAGTATCAATAGTTTATTAAATGTGTTTATAGTATTTGTATGTTTTGACAACTATTATATCTATTATAATTTTTTGACGATCTTAGTATTTAAGTTAGGACCGAAACCGGTTGTCATTTAGTAGTTATAATAAAAAACATTTATTTGGGATTTATTTTGTGAAATTTTGTAGCTATTTAAATGTTAAAATTTCAGGACATATTAGCAACCATGGACACCATACAGAATAGTAATTTTCTGAACCTCTCCACAGAAAAGCAACCTCCAAAACTAAAATTCGGCATAGACCAATTGCTCGCAACATCGAAAGAAAAAGAAGCACTTCCCAAAGGGATTACAAAACCCACACCAACAATGGCTATTCCTTGCTCTGACTGCGTGTCGTCCATTTACAGATGTTGCAAAGTGAGTTCTTCAGCGTGTTCACAGACTAGAGAAATTCCAGAGTATTTGGCTGGACACATGTTTGGAAATAATGCCACTACGTATACGATGCAACCTTTTAGGCCATTCCCTACACGACCAAGTAAGTGAATCTTAAACATTAAGATTAATATGGCTGCATTCCTGGAAACTACTGAATATGTCTCCTTGCAAACTTCATTTGATTACCACTTCATATTCTGTGAATTAATATACCCAGAAAAAAGGCTGTAATTCAGTGCCAAGAATAATATGTACTTCTACACAATTTCACATGGTTTGGTACTTTTGAGCATCCTCAGGTACAGTCTGTTCTGAAAGTTTGACCTGTTCTTTGGGGAAATATCAACTGGTTAAATGAAATGAAAAATAATGTACAACTTTTTAATTAAATATTAATGGAGAATCTTTTGTATAATTGAGAGCAGAATTAAACTTCTTCATTAATAGAGTCTAATGTGGCTATTATAAAACTAATAATAATTTTATATTACACTTCACACAAAAAATATGGTCTATGGTCTAAGAAGGTTATTTAGCTCAAATAAAATATTTTCTAACATAAAAATTTGTTCCATGTAGAGAATTTCAAATGAAAAATACAAAAATTGAACTTGCCAACAAAAATGAAAACATCATCCAAAATATCATAATCGTCATCATCATCATCACTGTCATCACCATTAATTGTTATTATGATTGGACTTATTTCGTTTATTTTATTTTCACGAGTCCACCAATCTTCTATTAGTTTCTCGCACTTGGATATACAGTTTCGCCACACTTCTGGAGTTGCAATTGAAAGTGCTTTCCGCCAAGTTTCTCGAACTGCGTCGTCACTATAACCATTAGGTCCAATATGGTTGTCAAAATATTGTTTTGCTATTCCCCATATATATACTGGCAATGATACGGTGGCAGACGTAAAACTTGATGACCGTAACTTTCAATAATCTGATCCACAACAAAGGTTTTTGGTTTTGCGTGTATATTTGCCAAACGTAATAATTCTGATTTTAATATATATTGAGGAAATGGTATATGTTCCGTTGTCAACCATTCTTTAATTTTATCAACAGTCCAAGAATTCGTTGGACTTTTGTTTAATACTTCAGAATGGTAAGGTGCATTCTCTAAAATAATTACGCTGGGCTCACTTAAACCTGGGAGAAGTTTTTCATGCAACCATTTTACAAACATTTCTGTGTTCATATTTTCATGATAGTCACTGGATTTTGATTTAGATGAAAATATTAAATCAGCACCTTCTATAAAACCCGATTTCCCTATTTCATGTAAAATTATGTGTTGCTTCCCTTCTCCATCGGTATGTTTGATAGACTTTACGTTATCATCTTGCCATATTCTCTTGGTTGCACCTCTAGAAAATATCCATGTTTCGTATAAATATATAAAATTCGCCCCTTCTTCATTAAATTTAGAATATTTTCTTAGAAAGTTAATTCTCTTGTGCACGATAGAACTTCTTTCACAAAGGGCCTTTCTGTTATCCTTCTTTTGAAATTTCAAACCCAAGTTATGTATCACTTGCCATAGACTTGTTCTGCCAATGTTGTCAAATTTTCTATCTATTAATTCCGAGAGAATTGTATTTAAGGTCACATGTTCCTTATTGGCCCTCATTCGATAAATAGTATCACGAATTTCAAATTTCTTTCCATCTGGAATATCTTTCGTTTTCAATGATGGGCGAGTTTTGCGGTGATCTTCTTTCGGCAGTTCACTATTGTAATTTTGTAATACTCCTCTTAAATTGGTTTCACTCATTCCTAGGGCATCGCATACGCATTGTTGTACAGACATTACCGATTTTAAAGGACCGCCATATTCTTTTTCATCCGTAAAATACTGATGTACACTACAAATTAGACTATATACATGTAACACACGTCTAGGCATTTTTAAAATTTCCACTAAATTTACAATATACATACAATGTCAACACTTGCAAAAAATTAATTCAACTGAAATATTTGTAACAAATTTAGTACCTACCCTAATGTTATTTTAATTTAAATCTGACCATTAGGACAATTTTACCTAATTTCTTGGGAAGAGGCTTGTTGGAACTGGTTGTCAATAACTAATTTGCATAATTTTGTTAATCTGAAACTCACGTAAGTATAGTGAACAGACTGTACTTTACAAATATATTTTTTTTAAATAAAGCTACCAAATTTAATTTTATTTCCTCAGAATTTTACTTTACAACAAAGAACTAAATTAAAATATATATTATTTTAAAACTAATTACGCATATAAAATATTGCCTACGATATGATGAAATGATATTAAATTAATATTACATTATTAAGCGCATGTATACGTATGAATTTATATACGAACCAGATCAAGCTGCTGAAAAATAAACAGCCTTTAATGATTTATTTTTTCCTCAAAACTATTTATTAAATTTGTTTACGCAGAAGGCCAATAAGCTTATCTAAAGACATTGGCGTTGCGTAGAAATGTTTTCTGACCACGAATTATTTCATATTTAATAAAAAATACTGTTTTGAATATTCGTAGATCTGGATGTAAAATAAATAATTATGTATTGACTATTTTATCACATTATTAATTTTTCCTTGTTTATAATAAGTGTATGTTACCTTATATTGATAAAGTGTTTTGAATCCGTCAGAAATTAAACTAGAAACTACAAAAACTAAAACAATAATAATGCTACAGATAAAAATTGTTTCTGAAATAATATATATGCTCACCAATGTACATGACATCATAGAAATAATAAATAAGTGCATACTACGCAATTTTTTGTCTCATTATTTTCGTTTCTTCTTTCCTTATCTTTTTATAGTTATCGTATTCTTATAGTTTTCCAGTTCTTGTTCATTTTAACTTTGCCTTTTTCTTTCTTTCTATTATATCTCTATATTCTTTATCAAATCAGTTGTTTCGATGTTTTTGTTTTCCTATTACTGCTGTGCTTCTTCATGCTCTTCTTTGGTCGGTTTTTTCACTTTTTCTTTAAGTTCACTATCAAATAAATACTCACATCTATTATCATTTCATTATAGTTTTATATTGTTCTGTCTCCTTTAGTTTTGTTAATATTTTTTTCCTTTACTCTTGAATTACTTTCGAATAATCATCATGATTCCAAATGTTTGTACCCTTAAGGTTTAAAGATTGTCTTAAATATCTATCTTTTTATGTCTCTTAGTTAGTTTCAATTGTATTGATCTAATCGACCCTGGTTTAAATCTGGCCCATTCTTCGATTTCATTATCTTTATTGATATCAGAATTCTTCTTAACCACCTCAATTACCTCATGCTCAGTTTCCTCTACTGGTTACTCTTCAGGTCAACCCTTCAGAAGTAGTTGAACCTCTTTCACCGCAGTTTATTTGCTGAATATTATTTTTGCTACGCCTGTGGATTATTTCAAAAAATGTTTCAAAAAAAGCAGAAATTCTCTAATTTCGTTTTTCATCAAAAGAATTTCTTGTTCTTTTGTGAAAACTGTGATATCTACTTCACTGGAAAACTTGTTTGAAGCGCTCATAATGTTCAGCGTGTTGATAATGTTCAAAAATTGTGTTTTAAATAATTTATGTCGTTAATGGCGAACATCACTCATCGTTGTTTATTGTGATTATAATTATTAGCTGTTAAAAACTAGTAAAACTGCTGTATTTAACGAATAATTATAGAAGAGGCAGTATTTACTCTAGTTTAATATAAGTTCTCAGATTTACTGCTCTTGATAACTGACGATATCCTGTTAATTTCCAAATTTGTTTTGGCCCTTTTGTAATGTGTCTACTATCATAAATACACATTGACGTATACCGGAAAAATAAATGTATAATAAACTAATGTCAACTAAGTTTTTTTTAATGTGTTTATTTATAAAATCCTTTCACTTTTTTGTTACTCTTAACTGTCAAATAAACAGTGTTTAAACGTCTTTTAAAAGTTTTTTTCTACACCCGTATTATAATAATGCACTTATATGCCCATAATCCGTTTCATAATGATACCCATTATGATACAGATTTTTCATTACGATACAGATTTTTAATCAATAGAAACCTACTATTTTTCAATCAAGCATGCTGTTTGACGTTTGTCCTAGGTTTCTATGTAATTGTTTTAGTTGTCAAAACGTATTAAATTTTCGTAGATAGCTAAACTTCGATAATTATAATATTAAAATGTCTCATATCAGCGATATCCACACATATCGGAGAAAGCAGAAAATACAGTACAAAATATTTTGCAGCAAAAATCTAGGGAAATACCAATACCCGAAGTAATACCATTAATTACAATTTTGTAGAATTTTTTATAGAAATACGAGTAATTACTGTTATTGTGTTCAATACCAATATAAATATAATATTTATAGGTCTTGATTCTTTATCGGGTGTAGAAAAAATAGCGTATGCAACTCTCATGTAATGGTTATTAAAACACTCGCATAGACCATACGAAACTCGCCTTTGGCTCGTTTCGTATCCCGGTTAATGCTCGTGTATTAATAACCATCATTACATGATCGTTGCATAATATACTATTATTCTAGTAGTTACTTATTGTAAGTGAAAGTGATAATTATAAATAATAGTTTTAAGATAAAATAAGTGTGGATTTTGCACGACCTTTAAGGAATTTAAAAGGTAAAAGGTCCAAATATAAAAATTATATTGTAAAAATTACGTGGGCATAAGCGGAAAAGATTCTAAATACATTTATAATGGGTAATGGTTCAAAATTGATTCAGCTGGAAATTAATTATTCATTATTTGTTAAGTCAGGACAGCAAATTTATTAATAACCTCCTTATTGAATTTCTTAAGCAATTCAAAATACATTTATAAGCATAACTATACTCTGGGGTAGTCATTTTCTTTAAAACAGATTTAATTCTAAGCCAACTCTCCCCTTACACATACATATTACTAGAATATTTATTTATTGGTAAAGACTAAATATTTTGACATAGATCAGGCTTGAGAGACAAGGGGATCAAATATTTTAACACAGACAGGTGTAAGGGATAGAAGTGCCAAATATTTTTACATGTCTAAGAGGTAAAAATTCAAATATTTTTACATATGCAGACTTAAGGGGTAAATTAGCCAAATATTTTTATATGTGCAGATTGAAGAAGTAAAAGGACAGATTATTATTATATGGACTTAATAAAGGGATAAAGGGCCCATATATTTTTACATTGGCAAGCTTAAGTGGTAAAATATTTTACAGAAATTGTATGAAGTTCAAACAATTTCCAAACCCTAATCAAAAGGCAAAAGATGGTTTAGCCTAATTAATGCCAATGCTTCACAAACCTGAACATTCAACGCTTTAATACTCATGGTCTTTTGGTCTTTCATTCAAAATCAAATCGTTTGTTTTATGCTACGCATTTACTTTTGGGACCTCAGTCGGGATAAGGTGGGAACTAAAAATTTAACTTCCCAAATTTTATTCTCTAGCGGTTCGAAGTAGACACACTGTATATATATTTGATAATTGCTGGTAGAAAAAATAAAATAATTCCTTATGCACATTACGAAAATTAGTAAATTGTATAAGATTTAATAATACCAAAAGAATTAGTAAATATATATCTTTTAAAAAATATTGAAATTTGGTCGTAATATTTTAAAATAGTTTTCTATAAATAACAAGATCATAAATACATTGTAGAATAATAAAAATTAGGTAATAATCTTCGCTCTAAATCGATTTCATAGCGGCAAAATCTATCAAACCGTACCAAATGTTCTGCTGCATATATTCCTCTCTATTGCCATCATATAAACACTTAACAAACCTTGTATACACAAGTAGAATACTTAAATCTCCAAATTATAAACACAGCAAGTGAATCTGTTTATAAAATCATACATCAAGAAGACTGTTTATGCTACCCTACAAAATTTGGTACTCATCAACGGCATCCAAAATTTATTTACAAGGCATTATGTAGTTTACTGGAACGGCGTACAAGGGGGGCTTTAGGATACTAATTTAAATGTTTATTTTCTGATGCCAGTAAGTAGATGTTTCGGGATTTTCGTGCATTTAATTTATTTTAAGGAGAAATTGCTATAAATTAATGTTAATATTTTTATGTCAGTCCAGTGATATATGCCTGGTATCTGCATAAGAACAACAAAAAACAGAACAAAATGAAAAAAAAAAAATAGAGTAAGTAGAAAAGATCTAATTTAACGAAAACAAAATGCAATGCAAGAACTATAGGTGGTGCTCGAATTGTTTTCCATCTTTGTCAATGCAAATATCAAGTCTCTGTCTAGTTGAATTGACAGCAGCTTCTATTTCAAGCCTATTAATATGATCAATTGCAGTTTGTATCCGTTGAATTTATAGAAATAATATAGAAGACCAATATAAATATAATATTTAAGCAGAAAAAACGCGTCTTTGCTCCTGACTCCGCAAAATAGTGTGTCTAAAAGTATTCGCAGTATGCATGACTTGTCCCTGTAGTGTTGCCAAGTATATTAAACATACCTAACACAGAAGAAGTTTATTTATTTTTAAATTATATGATTTAAACAGTTTATATCTACGAAATATCGCCACAAAATAACTTTTAAATAATCAACTAAAAATATTTATGTGTAAATACATACCCAAAAATATATACAATGTTCAACAATTCAATATTGACCTGGCAATACCACTTACAGTCTGTTCGCTATACTTACGCGGGTTTCGGATTAACAAAAGTATGCAAATTAGTAATTGACAACCAGTTCCAATAAGCCTCTTCCCAAGAAATTAGGTAAAATTGCCCTAATGGTCAGATTTAAATTAGGATAACATTAGGGTAGGTACTAAATTTGTTACAAATATTGCAGTTGAATTGATTCTTTGCAAGTGTTGACATTGTATGTGTATTGTAAATTTAGCGGAAATTTTAAAAATGCCTAGATGTGTGTTAGATGTAGATAGTCTAATTTGTAGTGTACATAAGTATTTTACGGATGAAAAAGAAAATGGTGGTCCTTTAAAATCGGTAATGTCTGTACAATAAAGCGTATGCGATGCTCTAGGAATTAGTGAAACCAAATTAAGAGGAGTATTACAAAATCACAATAGTGAACTGCCGAAAGAAGATCATCGCAAAACTCGCCCATCATTGAAAACGAAAGATATTCCAGATGGAAAGAAATTTTTGAAATTTGTGATACCTTTTATCGAATGAGGGCCAACAAGGAACATGTGACCTTAAATAAAATTCTCTCGGAATTAATAGATAGAAAATTTAACGACATTGGCAGAACAAGTCTATAGCAAGTGATACATAACTTGGGTTTCAAATTTTAAAAGGAGGATAACAGAAAGGCCCTTTGTGAAAGAAGTTCTGTCGTGCACAGGAGAATTAACTTGCTAAGAAAATATTCTAAATTTAAAGAAGAAGGGGCGAATTTTATATATTTAGACGAAACATGGATATTTTCTAAGGGTGCAACCAAGAGAATATGGTAAGATGATAACGTAAAGTCTATCAAACATACCGATGGAGAAGGGAAGCGACACATAGTTTTACATGCAGGAGGAAAATCGGGTTTTATAGAAACTGCTGATTTAATATTTTCATCTAAATCAAAATCCAGTGACTATCACGATAATATGAACACAGAAATGTTTGTAAAATGGTTGCATGAAAAACTTCTTCCAGGTTTAAGTGAGCCCAGCGTAATTATTTTAGACAATGCACCTTACCATTCTGAAGTATTAAACAAAAATCCAACGAATTCTTGGTAAACTGTTGGTAAATAAACTGTTGATAAAATTAAAGAATGGTTGATAAAGGAACATATACCATTTCCTCAATATATATTAAAATCAGAATTATTACGCTTGGCAAATATACACGCAAAACCAAAAACCTTAGATTATTGAAAGTTATGGTCATCAAGTTTTACGTCTGCCACCGTATCATTGCCAGTTTAATCCCATCGAATATAATAATAGCAAAACAATATTATGACAACCATATTGGAACTAATGGTTATAGTGACGACGCAGTTCGGGAAACTTGGCGAAAAGCACTTTCAATTGCAACTCAAGAAGTGTGGAGGAACTGTATATCCAAGTACGAGAAACTAATAGAAGATTGGTGGACTCGTGAAAATAAAATAAACGAAATAAGTCCAATCACAATAACAATTAATAGTGATGACAGTGTTGATGATGATGACAATTATGATATTTTGGATGATAATGACTGATTTTCATTTTTTATTTTTCATTTAAAATTCTCTACATGGAACAAATTTTTATTTTAGAAAATATTTTATTTGAGCTAAGTAACCCTCTTATTATACATAGACCATATTTTCTTTGTAAAGTGTAATATAAAATTATTATTAGGTTTATAATAGCCACATTAGACTCCATTAATGAAGAAGTTTAATTCTGCTCTCAATTATACAAAAGATTCTCCATTATTATTTAATTTTTCATTTCATTTAACCAGTTGATATTTCCCCAAAGAACAGGTCAAACTTTCGGGTACTTACCTGAAAATACTCATACAATTTTTAATCCGAAACCCGCGAACAGACTGTAAAGAGAATTTATGTAGGATTGATTTTGTGTATCATTATATACAATTTTAAAATAATTAGAAATAATACATTTTCAACAGCACCCCTTGCATAAGGCTTTCCAAAACGCCATTGGTGAGAGTTTGGTAACTCAGTATCATCACAAGTTTCCAGAATTTGTTTACAAGTCATTATGTAGTATGTTTTACATTTTTAGTCTCTAATCATCGGCAAGAATTGATTGCTTTTGCTTCTTGATTAATTTTTTTATTATTATTCGTTAGTGAAAAACGTTAAGCAGATATCTAAAATGTTTTGATCATCGCATATATATCAACATAAAACTGTTTGTACCGCAAATTTGTTTCATCACTATTTTTATCTGAATATACAAGGTGTAATTATACAATATACAAATTATTTTGTAAAGTGCAATACATTTTATAATTTATTAGATCGTTATTTATTTTGTGTACATCGTAAAAAATGCAGTGAAACTTCTTTTTAGAATTATCACATATTTTAGAAGAACTTTTAAAACATATTGCCCATTTTTTTTTAATAAATATAACTCAATATCGCTTAGGATGTATGTTACATTGTTTCCTTATTTTTATTCTTATTCATAAATGTAGTGTGTCCTATAGGTATATTTTATTTGACCAAAGGGATCAATAAAGTTATATTTTATTTATTATACTACATTATGATCAATATTTAATTTTATTAAAATTACCAATCCTTTCTACAAACATAATATAATATAAATATATAAAAGATTGATTTTGTTAGGAATATTTAATAACTAAAGTCTTTAATTTCACTTAAATCTAGATTGATATTAATTTCTTTTCACTTATTTTTCTAATTACTTATCTAAATGGTAATATTATTGATTGTAGACATATACATATTCTGTTTACTAAAATAAAATTTGAAGTAATATGTTTAAACAAACAAAATTAAAAAAATATTAAAGAATTTTTAAGTTTATTTACACATAATAGATATTCTATGTACCAAAACAGTAAATGCTATCTTTTTCGCCCGCAATTTCTAAATTTATAATTTATCAGTCGTTAACGTACGTCTTCTTTCCCAATAAAATGTTCTGTATAACAGAAACACATTTAAATTTAGTCAAACACCTTATATCGTAAGAATATGTCATAAATTTTAATTTGAAAGGACGAAATACAAAAATATTTTTTTAGGTATTCGAATACCAGATGTACACTCAACTTCACACTCAAATTCAAACCTCAACAACTGCTCTTCCAGCCAGAACAAGAGGAAACGTTCGTGGTCCAGAGCCGTATTCAGCAATTTACAACGAAAAGGCCTCGAAAGAAGATTTCAAATTCAAAAATATATAACGAAACCGGATAGAAGACAGTTGGCAGCCACTCTAGGTTTGACAGACGCTCAGGTCAAAGTTTGGTTTCAAAATAGAAGGATGAAGTGGCGGCATTCTAGAGAAGGACAAGGTGGAGAGAATGCAGTAGCTGATTCGACCCAAGAAGAATTGCATATTGATGTAGATACTGTAACGGATGATGTTGACTGAGTAAATAATTTAAAAAAAAATGAATATTTTATTTCCAAATAAAATTTCGACTTGGAAAAAACAGGAAGGCACAGTAACGATCCAAACAGGTTTACAATTATATTTCGACGTTTGACAACCTTCTTATATAATTATACTAAACAAATACAATATAAAAATTCGAAAAATGCGGTTTCCATATACATTTTGAACACAAAAAACGAAATAAAATTTGGAAAAATACCCATTATGTAAAAAACCAATAGGGATAGAAAATTAAAACTATACTTATCAAAAAGAAAACATCGTTTTATATAGTATAGGGTAGTTTTAATATCGATTTAAAATTAATTGAAATTTTAATTTAAGGGAGAGACACAAAAAAAAATTTCGTTTTTTGTGTCTCTCCCTTAAATTAAAATTACAATTAATTTTAAATCGATGTTAAAAATACCCTATACTATAAAAAATTATGTTTTCTTTTTGATAGATCTAGATATAATTTTCTATCCCCATTGGTTTTTACATAATGGACATTTTCCAAATTTTATGTCGTTTTTTATGTCTCTCCCTCAAATTAAAATTACAATTAATTTTAAATCGATGTTAAAAATACCCTATACTATCAAAAATGCTGTTTTCTTTTTGATAGGTCTAGTTTTAATTTTCTATCCCTATTGGTTTTTACATAATGGGCATTTTTCCAAATTTTATGTAATTTTTTGTGTCTCTCCCTTAAATTAAAATTACAATTAATTTTAAATCGATTTTAAAAATACCCTATATTATAAAAAATGATGTTTTCTTTTTGATAGGCCTAGTTTTAATTTTCTATCCCTATTGGTTTTTACATAATGGGCATTTTTCCAAATTTTGATACAAAAAACGAAATAAAATTTGGAAAAATACTCATTATGTAAAAAACCAATAGGGATACAAAATTAAAACTAGACCTATCAAAAAGAAAACATCGTTTTATATAGTATAGGGTAGTTTTAATATCGATTTAAAATTAATTGTAATTTTAATTTAAGGGAGAGACACAAAAAAAAATTTCGTTTTTTGTGTCTCTCCCTTAAATTAAAATTACAATTAATTTTAAATCGATGTTAAAAATACCCTATACTATAAAAAATGATATTGTCTTTTTGATAGGTCTAATTTTAATTTTCTATCCCTATTGGTTTTTACATAATGGGCATTTTTCCAAATTTTATGTCGTTTTTTGTGTCTCTCCCTTAAATTAAAATTACAATTAATTTTAAATCGATGTTAAAAATACCCTATACTATAAAAAATTATGTTTTCTTTTTGATAGATCTAGATATAATTTTCTATCCCCATTGGTTTTTACATAATGGACATTTTCCAAATTTTATGTCGTTTTTTGTGTCTCTCCCTTAAATTAAAATTACAATTAATTTTAAATCGATGTTAAAAATACCCTATACTATAAAAAATGATATTGTCTTTTTGATAGGTCTAATTTTAATTTTCTATCCCTATTGGTTTTTACATAATGGGCATTTTTCCAAATTTTATGTCGTTTTTTGTGTCTCTCCCTTAAATTAAAATTACAATTAATTTTAAATCGATGTTAAAAATACCCTATACTATAAAAAAATTATGTTTTCTTTTTGATAGATCTAGATATAATTTTCTATCCCCATTGGTTTTTACATAATGGACATTTTCCAAATTTTATGTCGTTTTTTATGTCTCTCCCTCAAATTAAAATTACAATTAATTTTAAATCGATGTTAAAAATACCCTATACTATCAAAAATGATGTTTTCTTTTTGATAGGTCTAGTTTTAATTTTCTATCCCTATTGGTTTTTACATAATGGGCATTTTTCCAAATTTTATGTAATTTTTTGTGTCTCTCCCTTAAATTAAAATTACAATTAATTTTAAATCGATTTTAAAAATACCCTATAATATAAAAAATGATGTTTTCTTTTTGATAGGCCTAGTTTTAATTTTCTATCCCTATTGGTTTTTACATAATGGGCATTTTTCCAAATTTTGATACAAAAAACGAAATAAAATTTGGAAAAATACTCATTATGTAAAAAACCAATAGGGATAGAAAATTAAAACTAGACCTATCAAAAAGAAAACATCGTTTTATATAGTATAGGGTAGTTTTAATATCGATTTAAAATTAATTGTAATTTTAATTTAAGGGAGAGACACAAAAAAAAATTTCGTTTTTTGTGTCTCTCCCTTAAATTAAAATTACAATTAATTTTAAATCGATGTTAAAAATACCCTATACTATAAAAAATGATATTGTCTTTTTGATAGGTCTAATTTTAATTTTCTATCCCTATTGGTTTTTACATAATGGGCATTTTTCCAAATTTTATGTCGTTTTTTGTGTCTCTCCCTTAAATTAAAATTACAATTAATTTTAAATCGATGTTAAAAATACCCTATACTATAAAAAATTATGTTTTCTTTTTGATAGATCTAGATATAATTTTCTATCCCCATTGCTTTTTACATAATGGACATTTTCCAAATTTTATGTCGTTTTTTATGTCTCTCCCTCAAATTAAAATTACAATTAATTTTAAATCGATGTTAAAAATACCCTATACTATCAAAAATGATGTTTTCTTTTTGATAGGTCTAGTTTTAATTTTCTATCCCTATTGGTTTTTACATAATGGGCATTTTTCCAAATTTTATGTAATTTTTTGTGTCTCTCCCTTAAATTAAAATTACAATTAATTTTAAATCGATTTTAAAAATACCCTATATTATAAAAAATGATGTTTTCTTTTTGATAGGCCTAGTTTTAATTTTCTATCCCTATTGGTTTTTACATAATGGGCATTTTTCCAAATTTTGATACAAAAAACGAAATAAAATTTGGAAAAATACTCATTATGTAAAAAACCAATAGGGATAGAAAATTAAAACTAGACCTATCAAAAAGAAAACATCGTTTTATATAGTATAGGGTAGTTTTAATATTGATTTAAAATTAATTGTAATTTTAATTTAAGGGAGAGACACAAAAAAAAATTTCGTTTTTTGTGTCTCTCCCTTAAATTAAAATTACAATTAATTTTAAATCGATGTTAAAAATACCCTATACTATAAAAAATGATATTGTCTTTTTGATAGGTCTAATTTTAATTTTCTGTCCCTATTGGTTTTTACATAATGGGCATTTTTCCAAATTTTATGTCGTTTTTTGTGTCTCTCCCTTAAATTAAAATTACAATTAATTTTAAATCGATGTTAAAAATACCCTATACTATAAAAAATGATGTTTTCTTTTTGATAGGCATAGTTTTAATTTTCTATCTCTATTGGTTTTTACATAATGGGCATTTTCCCAATGTCATCTTGTTTTTTGTGCCTCTCCCCTAAATTAAAATTACAAATAATGTTAAATCGATGTTAAAACTACCCTATACTATATAAAACGATGTTTTCTTTTTGATAGGTCTAGTTTTAATTTTCTATCCCTATTGGTTTTTACATAATGGGCATTTTTCCAAATTTTATGTCGTTTTTTGTGCCTCTCCCTTAAATTAAAATTACAATTAATTTTAAATCGATGTTAAAAATACCCTATACTATAAAAAATGATATTGTCTTTTTGATAGGTCTAATTTTAATTTTCTATCCCTATTGGTTTTTACATAATGGGCATTTTTCCAAATTTTATGTCGTTTTTTGTGTCTCTCCCTTAAATTAAAATTACAATTAATTTTAAATCGATGTTAAAAATACCCTATACTATAAAAAATTATGTTTTCTTTTTGATAGATCTAGATATAATTTTCTATCCCCATTGCTTTTTACATAATGGACATTTTCCAAATTTTATGTCGTTTTTTATGTCTCTCCCTCAAATTAAAATTACAATTAATTTTAAATCGATGTTAAAAATACCCTATACTATCAAAAATGATGTTTTCTTTTTGATAGGTCTAGTTTTAATTTTCTATCCCTATTGGTTTTTACATAATGGGCATTTTTCCAAATTTTATGTAATTTTTTGTGTCTCTCCCTTAAATTAAAATTACAATTAATTTTAAATCGATTTTAAAAATACCCTATATTATAAAAAATGATGTTTTCTTTTTGATAGGCCTAGTTTTAATTTTCTATCCCTATTGGTTTTTACATAATGGGCATTTTTCCAAATTTTGATACAAAAAACGAAATAAAATTTGGAAAAATACTCATTATGTAAAAAACCAATAGGGATACAAAATTAAAACTAGACCTATCAAAAAGAAAACATCGTTTTATATAGTATAGGGTAGTTTTAATATCGATTTAAAATTAATTGTAATTTTAATTTAAGGGAGAGACACAAAAAAAAATTTCGTTTTTTGTGTCTCTCCCTTAAATTAAAATTACAATTAATTTTAAATCGATGTTAAAAATACCCTATACTATAAAAAATGATATTGTCTTTTTGATAGGTCTAATTTTAATTTTCTATCCCTATTGGTTTTTACATAATGGGCATTTTTCCAAATTTTATGTCGTTTTTTGTGTCTCTCCCTTAAATTAAAATTACAATTAATTTTAAATCGATGTTAAAAATACCCTATACTATAAAAAATTATGTTTTCTTTTTGATAGATCTAGATATAATTTTCTATCCCCATTGGTTTTTACATAATGGACATTTTCCAAATTTTATGTCGTTTTTTGTGTCTCTCCCTTAAATTAAAATTACAATTAATTTTAAATCGATGTTAAAAATACCCTATACTATAAAAAATGATATTGTCTTTTTGATAGGTCTAATTTTAATTTTCTATCCCTATTGGTTTTTACATAATGGGCATTTTTCCAAATTTTATGTCGTTTTTTGTGTCTCTCCCTTAAATTAAAATTACAATTAATTTTAAATCGATGTTAAAAATACCCTATACTATAAAAAAATTATGTTTTCTTTTTGATAGATCTAGATATAATTTTCTATCCCCATTGGTTTTTACATAATGGACATTTTCCAAATTTTATGTCGTTTTTTATGTCTCTC